TCAAATTTCCTTTTGCAGCCAGAAATCATCAAATTAATTTTATTGATCTATGATAAAGCAATGATAGGAATTATTTTGCAGAAGTGTCCTAAGCATATCTTGTGCTTCTTTCTTTTAATTTTTGTTACATCATGCGTAATAAGAGTTTAATTCTACTGTGGATATAATCGTATCAGGGGGATGCATTTGACTTTAGTGTTTAGAAAGCTGCTCTGTTTCGTATGCATTCTGGCATAAGTTTGCTTCCTCCCTATAAATGTCAGCAGAAGATATCCAGTAGCCTTTGGTTATTTAATGCTCTTTTGGATTTTATTAGTACCAACTAATTGCCTAGTTGCAATGGTATTGTGGTTTTTTTCTTCAATATGGTGCTACAAACTCAAGTTTCCTTTTGCATGGCTACGTGTTAACAGTTGGTGCATTTAGTTATGAAGTGGAATTTTACAAAAAAAACACACTTGATCAGTGACAGGTGAAAGAAACTGTTGTCTGTGTACCTGGCCAGGTGATTTGGCTTATGGTTTCATTCTCTCAGGCCCTCTGCCTGTTGCAACCCATCTATTAAACAACAGAAAAATCAAAACATAAGCTAATCTATATATATAGTTGCAAATTTAGACTGTCTTTCAGAGGGGGAAAAACCTTCTCTTGGGTTTACTCTGAGCTATGCTGAGTCATCGGGATTGTGTGGGCTCAGTAAACTGTGTGTGGATTGGCCCCTCAAACCAACCAGTGATGTGTTGAAAAGAATGACAGCTTATGTACAATTTAAAACTAAAACAAGTGTCTCTGGATGAATTAGAATTGCAGATGGTTGTCTTACCAGCACTGTGGTTTGTAGCATGCCTAATTACCCTGGTTGGTTTTTTTAAAGAAATAGTTTTACAGTGGGGAAGGGTTAGGGTTGGAGATGTGGGGCATGGAACAAAAGACCCATGGCTTAGTTTCCATAGACCATCCTCTAACAATGCCCTGCTGCTTGTATATGGCTTCTAATGTATGAAATAAGAAGCTGATAGTCTATTGAACTTCTACTACTAGGTCACGATGCAATCCGGTGTGGGATGCTGCTGCTGCACCACCACCACCGTGCAAATATGTGGTAAAAAAATTAAGAAAAGGGCACCCAAATGCTTGTTTGCATTAAAAGTGAAATGCTTAAGGATTATTATAATAGACCATTGCCTAAAAATGCCCCCCCACCCAAGTGTTGGGACTCTTTCAGCATCTGTATAGCCAGCAGAAAAAAAAAAAGAAGAATAGCTTTTGGAAGGTAATTGCTTCTAGACAAAAATAGCATTAAAAGTTTGAAATAAGCAAGGCTTGCAGAACTGGGGTTGAAGAATCTTTGTCACAGTGGAAAGATTTTATTGGGTTATGCTGTAGAACAGGAATTGGAAAACTTTTCCCCTTCCATGTCAGGGCCCATATTCTCTTGAGGGTATTCTGTCAAGGGCTGAAATTGGCAGTGGGATGTCTTCTACCTCTTTCTTTTATTGCTCCATCCCTTTATTTCACTTGAGGTTCCCCCTATTTGCTTGAAATTTAGTGAGGACCACAGGTTCCCTGGGCCTGTCTTAGAAAGTGTAAGGTGTTTTAGAAAAGAAGCAAATCTCTCTCTCTCTCTCTCTCTCTCTCTCTCTCTCACACACACACCCACCCACCCACCCCTTCAGCTCCTTATCATATTTCAGCATCATTCAGAACAGATAAACTTGCGGAATATATTTTTGCTGGCACTTCTCAAGAGAAGGAATGCTTGAATATGTTACTGTTTTAGAATGAATATATTATGTGGTGAATTGGAGCTGTTTATTGGGAAGGCTGTGGAGGTTATTTAAAGTGCCTGAAATAAAGGTTCAGATAAGAGAGACTTTTATCCCAATTAGGAATGCATACACACATCCATATCCATAAAGGGATGCCAGAATGATGATGAAGCTGTAAAACCTTTTTCAAAGTGAACATCTTCCAAATGGGGATTAAACACGGCACATATGGCAACCAACTTTTTCTCAGATGCAACGTAAGCCAGGAAGGAATTGAAAAAGCAAATTCATGTGGATCATCTTTTTAAAAAACCTCATGATTGGAAGCAAGAAACCAGGCAGATAGGAAATAAAAGCTTTTTATGACAACAGGTATAAAAGGGAGTGCCGAAGGAAAATGAGGAGATTGTAGGAAAGCACAGATGATGCTTGACTTCATTCTTTACTAAAAAAAGATACTTGTAGTGTATCCACAACTGAATTGTTGCTTTCTGGCAGTATAACTAAAAGGGTAATCAAACAGACAAAACAGGAAGTTCTGGGGCTAAATCATGTTCAGTTTGGAACTAAACTAAACCTTGCTGTATTGTTTTATTTCAGGTTTTATGTGAGTGTTTTCAAACATTTCATTTTGCTGCTGTGTTGGATTGTATGTGTGTTGCCCTGGGCTCCCTTTGGGAGGATGGAAGGACCACAAACATAACAAATAAATGTTGGTTGTGCTGTGGGTTCTCATCCTGTCATTCTGTGCACATGGGACAGTGATGAAAAATAATCCTATGTTTTATCTGTGAGCCAACATTTGAAAAAGTGGCACAGACATGTTTTTAAATAAATGCAAAACCCTTTGTGATGTGTCAATTAAGGTAACATCTCTAGGAGCCCTGGGCTCCTAGAGTGAATGATGTAAAAATACTGTAATTAAAAGCATCTATGAGATACATCTGTAAAACTAAATATGCAAAAGCAATACCAGCTGCTGAAATTCCAACTCTTCAAGAGGTCAGATATGAAACCGTTGCTGAACTTAACTAAAATAAGTCATAGGAGGAGAAAACTGCAGGATGCCTTAATGCAACATTTTTCTTAAAAGAAGACTTTGTTGATGATTAAGGGTGAAATATTTCTAAATATTTCTTGTGAGGAAAACAAATACCCAGCTTTTATGTTTAATTCTGTATGTTCCTAAATGCATCTATGAGGTGAAAATGAAATCCATTTTCGGTCCTGCCTTGTGAACTCTCTTGCAAAGTCTATTGCTTTGCTGCGTTTTTTAAAAGCAAGCTCATGTTAAAATTTAGTTTTGAAACCTGGAAATCTTGCATTCCAGTTTCTATTTCATGTGAAACCTTTGCATTGGATACTAGTTAGTACTTCACTTCGGGGGTATTTGAAAGTTCTTATTTGTTTGCTTGCAGTGATATAACAGGATGCTTAGCTAACTTTCGTAGTTCCGCTGGAAGCTAAAATGTGAATTTTAGCTCTGTACAAAACCAAGGCCTTTGCATAGGAAATTATTAGGAATCTGTTGACTGGTTTTAGTATAATGAGGGAATGATAATAGGTTGACCTGCATATGATAAGGAACACAGGGTTGCCAGCAAAAAATAGCAATCTCTGTAAGGTTCCCTCTCCTGGGACATTATGTTCCCCACCCCCACATTCCTGAAGGCTACTGAGAAATATAGCTACGCATTAGTTTGACATCAGGTTGCTATTTTTGCCTCAACTAAAGATGTACTCAGGCATTTGCTCTACTTTATTGGGGATCCTAATTTCACAGAGGACTCTACTCATGTTCAAGCGCTTTGCACGTCTCCTTTTTTTTAAAAAGGGGAAAGTTAGGATCTGAGTTGAGGGAGTAGGAGCCCAGTGAATGTAGGACATATGGGGCAGGGCTTCTGCAGATGACCTTGCCTCCATCCTAACTTTGAGCACCCTTCTGCGCACCTTTCTGTCTAGTTCTCCTCTTAGCGGCCTTGATCCAGGCTAGCCTTCCCCAGTTTGGTGCCCTTCAGATGCTACAACTCTCTGTCTCCAGCCATTTTGGGGGGAGCAGCAGTTTGGGAAGGCCGACCCACACACTGTAACTTGTATTGCAGAAACAGGCTGCAATTGGCAGAATTTTAATACATACTGATAGTATATCTAACATGCATACTCGTAACTGCAGTAAATAAAATTTTAACATCAATTTTAATGCCTTATTTGTGTTTTTAGTTCCAGGGTGCCCCATGGTGGCTTTGCCCACATAATGGGTGGTAGTGGATTGCAAAATTTCACAATTGCTGCTGTGCCATATACCCCAAATCTTCTACCAACATCAAGCACATGGTAGGTTAAATAGCCTCATTTAAATGCATTGAGAACATCCCTTTGTTTTTCATTTGTTTTCCTTTGGTTGAGAGGGGCAAGAATTCTTCAAGATCAGAATTATATCTTCGTATAAGCTCATCAGAGAAATGCCTCTGGTCAGTATCATTAGCCAAAGCAGATCTGGTTGTTCTAGTCATAAGCCATAGGTGTTTCAATTATTTCTTCCACACTGTTGAAGAAAGAAATCAAACTTGTTGTATAGTTTTAATGGGCAGCAGTACAATCTCACTAAAGGATACTTCATGTTAAATTGCTATATTGCTTTTCTTTTTCTTTTAAGCTAAGAGAAATGTCTTTCCCCCCACCTGGAGAACATCTGAATACTAAGGGGGACTGCAATGCAGCAGCGCGTTTTCTCCCTGTAAACTTCATTTTCAAGGCTTTGGGATCTGAATGCAGATTTGAGAGTGCGGTGTTTAGCGTTGATTATCTTGTGCAAGACAAATGTTTCCCTCCAGATTGCATATTCTTAATGGGATGCTTTCCTCTTTCGTTTTAGTATCAACATGCTCAAGTTGCCCGAGTATCCCCAAAAAGAGATCCTTAAGGACAGGCTTCTTGTGGCATTACACTGCGGAAGCTACGGTTATACAATGGCATAATGAAGTCAGACAACCCCTCTGATTACCGATGTGGAATTCAGAGTGGCAGACGTTAATTTAACAACCTGTCAATAAGAAGATGATGTTGGTTGGAAAACAACTTGATTTCGCAGTCCGTGAGCGGGATTGACTTCCATTGGAATTCATCCAGTTTTTCCTCTTCCTGTATCTCATCCTGATCTTGAGATTGCTGTTTCATGGTATACTGAGTACATTCTCGCTTCAGTTTTTAAATGGTAGTTCTGTGTTAAGCATGTCATACTTTTTCCTTTCATCTCTCAAATATGAGGTTTCCCCCATTATGATTCTGCCTGCTCTTTATCAGATCTTTCAACTTGGTGCTTTCCCTCCTACTCAAAGGCCAATTCCTCATGAGGGCTGCAATCTGGTATACACTTGGTGGGTCAGGATTTCTCAGACATGGCCACCAGGAACTTTCAATGCTGCCACTCAGTCACTAGTTTGCGCCATAGATTTGTATTGGATATGCATTTCCTGTGGCCTTGTCTATGGGTCACAGTTAAAGGGCAGTTTGAGAGCCAATGCATTAAGCCCAATCTATTTCATTGAAATAAAAATACTAAGCACGGGGGGAACTGGTGCGAAATCTCAGCCGCTGCCTTTGACCATGCATTATCTTGCATGGAAAAAAATGCCATTTATTTATTTTTCTCTAGGGGCCATTGTACAGAAAGTTCAAAAAACTATGATGCAAAATACCAAATCTGATGTATTTTTTGTTCTGCTTACCTTAATGAAACTGTCACAAAAAAGTTTTTTAGCTTTATAGTATTTTAATACCGATTTAAACATTTTTAAAAGTCTGTTCTGTTGTCAGCAAAGAGGTAAAAAAAAAGAGATAATTTATATTCTACACTTCAGATGTACAACACTATTCAAGCACCACTGAAATGTCAGTGACTTCATGCCCCTCCAGAGTTTGTATATATTTTAAAGGAATGAATCCTTTTATTTGGACGATACATTTCTCAGGCCTGAGCTGTGTGAAAAGTATGCATTAAAGTTAAATATTTTATTGTAACTTACTACTGTTTGGTCATGTTTGTGAGTCTGTCCGTGTTCATTTAGATGCTCTTCAAAGTTTCATATCTGCTTATTTAACTAAACAGACAGGTTTTGAGTAGGTTCTATGGCAGAGCACAAAATAAGTAAAGGCCTAGGACCTAACAAGTATTTGACACCTTTTTCCTGATATCTAAAACATATTTACCAGGAAGCACATTCCCTTTGTGTCAGTGGAATTTACTTTCCAATAAATGACTTGGGGTATAAATGGTGCTGTTAAGTCAGGACTTTGGGGCAGGTGACCAAGACTGCACTTGGAAGAATGAGTAGGATGGTTCCCAAGTACAGTTGTACCTCCGTTTACGTAAACTTCGGGATGCGCGTGTGGCAAACCCAGAAGTATTTTACCAGGTTTCGCCCTGCACACATGTGCAGAAGCAGTCTGCGCATGCGCAGAAGTGGTCCTCAGGTTGCGGAAACCTCAGGATCCGAGCGGACCTCCGGAACGGATTCCATCTGCAACCGGAGATACTACTGTAAGAGGACTTTAAGATGGTTGGATGGCATCTTGTATGCCTTCTTCCTCCTGCCACCAAGCTGGTGCCAAATGTTGTGCTCTGCATTCCCTTGGACCACATCTGTGAGCCCTCCATACACACTGCCTAGGCTCGCACCCTGGGAAGGTCACTTCAGAGCTGCTTACACAGCAGTTTGACTTCACCCCCCCTCCCGAAGTCCACTCCATTGACTCTTGAGACAGACAGATGCCAGCAACAATTTGTATCATTTTCATAGAGAATTGCTGCATCTTTCTCTAAGCCAGCTTTCCCTAACCTGCGTGTTCTGCAGCCTACTGAGGTTCCACTGAAATGAGCTGCTATGGAAGAAAGGTTTGCACGCCAGTTGCTGGACTTGGGTACCTAGACTTCTGGACTTTTTATTGCATGTTGACCACTGGTTTCTAATGGGCTCACTAGTGCTGTGCAGTTACAAACTGGTGGTGGTGAAACTGCTGCAGTTAGGGAAGCCTTTAACTTGTTCCTTTTCAAGAAGAATGCAGAATCTTGTTCTGTGGGAAGCCTGAGGGATGGATGACATCCACTAAGAGACCCTATTTCCAGCTCTTTGCCTGCACAGTGAATGAACTTCTCTAAGTTATTTCAGGTGAGTGGTTTTTCTTAAAAGTCATAAGATGTCATTGGTATTTTATATGTATCACAAAAAGTTTATCTGAGTACTCACTGGGGAATAGAGATACAATTAGGCAAACAAGATTTCTAATGACTTTAGAATTTGAAACCAATATGCATTTTCAAAGTGACTTTTGGTTATGTAATAGCCATGCATAAAGTGGACTGTATCTAGTATATTGACACATGATTAATATAGGATTTAATTGTATTGAAAAGGGTATTTTAGAACACCTGAGTCCTATTAACAACTGAGGACAAGCTTGTTGAGAAACTATAACTTAACTATATAAGCTTATAGTTTAGAATGTTTGATAGGTTGCTATCCCTCCCACATATCATATTCTTTGCTATGTGTCTTACCTAAAAAAAGAGTCTTGTCAGACCATAGATTGTATTTATTCATGAACTACCATTGAAATGTTATCAAGACTCTTTTAGATCTGAAAGCTTTGCATCTAATTTGCAAAAGCGCTAAAGAATGACTCATGTTCTACATGCCATATCGAGAATCAATGCTTGGATAGAGCGACAATAAACTTTGGCGGGTGTTTCTTTTACAACATATCAGTTGCATTGTTACTACTGTTTGACACGTTAGTTAGGAAAAATCTAGTAAAAATAAAAAGAGCAAGTGTGAGAGAGAAATACCCAGTAAAGCCCTCTGGAAAGAGTTCTGAAACTGGGAGTCATTCCAGATTCTGGCTCAAGTCAGTGTGACTTGGATATCATGCAGTGCATATTCCCAAAGGAGGCAATTCCCACACACAGATCACACCCATTTTTAGGCAATACATTCAGATTCCAGTAAGGTCTCCATTGCACATTATCTTCTGAGCACAGAAGCCACCCCTGCAGCCTGGTTCCTTCCTTTGCTGTGAAGGTTAAATCTGATAGCCTGGCCAGCATGAAAAAGATCTCACACTGGGTTTCCTCCCCATACGAACACACTCTGTCTTCAAGTTAAGTGATGCTGACATGGGGAAGAGCTCCAGGATAAATGATGCTGGCTTGGGTGTGCTACTCCAATGTGGCCCACAGCTTCTTGCGCAGTGTAGGAAAAAGCTGTTCTACATACGGCAGCTCACATCTGTGGTGTCAAATGCAAAAATCTACATCTTTACACCCCCAGCCTGCAAAATATATCACTCCAGCTGGAACCCCCCAAATTCTTGTTTGAAATCTAGCTGGGCTGGCCTGCTGTGGCATTTCTATAATATTTTAATGGATACCTGGTGGGCTCTGTGGGAACGAGACCTGGGCTGCTTTGCCCACCTCAGCTTTAAGTACTTGTGACATCCGGTGGCGAGAGTTCAATGGTTGAGTTTTCTAGAGAGCACAGCTATTCATCAGGATTATTAGGATTCTCTGGGGATAGCTTCAGTATACTGATTGTCTTTGACACATCAGTTTGCTTAGATTAAAAGAAAATTGCTACTGTCTGGTTGAATTTTAAACACTTCAGAGAGAGAGAAAAGAACTCTAGAACTGTTTGGGCATATAATGCACCCTTCCAAATGTATCGGGAGGTGGAAAGAAAACCGATTGAACAGTAATACCTGATAACCACTTGGTGTAAATTTGTGGGTGTACAGAGTTGTGCAAATATTTCAGCGCTGTTTATTTGTAAGAATGTATTTCAATAATCTGTTCCATATTCTGCGGCAGCTTTATTGATTTTGATATCTAATCTCTTATCACCCCAATAGTTTGATGTGGACAGAAATGTCTTAAATAAGCCTTGGATAAAAGATGTTATGCATTAGATCAGCTACTTCGTATTGAAACAAACTAAAAGTAGCCCTGTTTTTGTTTTGAGCCAGCCTTGCCCCCCTAAAAAAGGCCTTGGGAGAAATATGGAGTATGGTCCTTCAAATGTTTTTGTCTACCACTCCTTACTCCTGCTTTCTGCCGATGCATTTCTAGCCCCTGAGATGCAATTCAGACCCAGTGTAAGGTTTCTTACTCCTCTAACTCATGTTTAATGTGTCTTATTAATAGATGCAGTGTTAAGAGCCAGGGAGTGCCTGGGAAACCAGGGTTCAAATCCCCACTCAGCTATGAAGCTCCTTGGGTGACCTTGGGCCAGTCACTTCCCCACAGCCTAACCCTACCTGCCAGGCATTAAATGAGGAAGGGGAGAACCATGTACGCCACTTTTTGTGTAAAACAAAACACTTAGGAATTCAAGGCAGAATGACACAGGTATGAATGGTTGGTCCAGAAGTACTAAGCTTCTTAAGACTGGGGTGCAAGTTAAAACACTCTTTCCCAGCCCTGAGTCCTCACAGACCACAACCCTCACCATCCTCAGCCAGCATGGCCAGTGGTCAGGGATGATGGGAGTTGTAGTCTAAGCTTCAGGAAGCCTGGGGCTTAAAGAAAGCAAGGGCTGTATGAAACTGCAGCATGAAAGTGTCCATAGCCAACAAGACAATCTCAGCAATTACTCTCAGGACCATCCATCAATGCAGAATAGGCAGCCTCTATTGACTCTATGTCCTCTCTATCATACAGAGCAACACTATTCTCGCCACATCCTTTCCTACCATTTCTATAGTTTGTATCAATGGAAGTGTATGTTGTTATGTGTGTTTCCCTATTCCATGATGAACATAATTTTCTGCTTGAAGTGGGCTTTGTGTATGTGTCAAGCAGGATGACATCACATCCCACTTTTCCATTATCACACATTCCTCTGAAGAGGAAAAAGAACTTAATATGCAGTTTCCCATTTCCGCAGCAGCCTGTGTTGTCCACCATATCTAGCTTCACTCGAGATGTATCTTCATTCTACCATATGTATAAATATTTACAGTGAGCCTTTGTAGTAGAACAGTGTGGGGAGGGGGCTGTTAATTGGGTGATCTAATTGAGGTTCGAATTTACACATTAGAAACTCAGGGAGCAAAGTAGGCGTGAGAACCCATGGCACTCCCGTTGTTGCTGAATGCCCAGCAGCCTCCTTCAAAATGACACATGGTCTGGGATGAGTTGCAGGTTCTCCACCCTGGAGGATAAACAGGAATAGAGATCACAGACTCAAGATGGTAATTGAAATAAATCTGTTGCCTAATTGCTGTACAATGGTTCATTCAAAACATATCTATAAGAAGACTATCTTCTTACTGAAGAGAAAGATATTCTGACCTTTGAAGCAAAACAGCAACAGAAAGCAATTTAAGATAGCATATAGTACTTAGGAAATGATGCGGATTAAGAATGGCATAAGGCTAGCATTATAATTGCATTGGCAAAGCAATCAAGGTGGTTGGAATGACAATCTTCAGCTTACTATTTTCTTCTCTAATTGAAGATTTGGCCCCCTATCGCTCTGCAGTCCACCACGAAACACCTTTTACTGCAGGCTCATTACTTAACTAGGCAAACCCATGTAAGTTGTAGACTGTGGGTGCCCATAATCTAACTAGAGAAGAGTGTAACTGGGATCCTTGCTTACCTAGCATTTATTCAACTTTGAAACATTCCTATTTTGACAGTGTTATGATTCCATACTTGCAAAACAATCTTGTATTCTTTTTCTGCACTTTAGCATCTTATCATGCTGATATTA